CCCCCCCCCCTTTCCCCCCCAACCCAGAAGATACATACACATTGCTTTGCGCAGTTCAGCCGCTCGCCAAAATAACAAAAAAAAAGCAATGAAAAAGCGTTGTGTAAGTCTAGTGACGGCGGCGGCGGCGAAGGTGAGCCAGTTTCGCAGGGACATGCTCGCCGTCCACGCAGCGGTACTCGACGTACCCGGAGAAGCTCTGCAGGCACTTGTTCAAGGGAACATTGCTTTGGATCGAAGGACCGCTGCAGCTGCTGCTGAGGAGAAAGATCTCCTCAGTGAGTGTTGTGGAGCCGCACGTGACGATGGCCGAACCGCCGCCAGACACTTGGAGGCACTGATTTGTCCTGAAGGTGTCGTTCTTGCACGCGACCCTGCACGCACCGTCGTCGCAAGACATCTGCACAAAGTAAGACGGAGACGGGCCAGGGGCGCTGGTGGTGGTGGTAGTCGTGCTGGGGGCGGGGCCGCCAACCACAGAGGAGGTCGGGTACTCGTTGACAAGGCACTGGTTCTTGCCCTTCTCAATGCGGATGTAGCCCTCCTCGCCCCAGGATGTGCCCCACGAGTTCTTGATGATCCAGTACGGCGGGCTGTTGCTGTCGTCGTAGCCCACAAGAAGCACCCCGTGGTCGAGCTGCTCAGAGATGCAGTTCGTCAGGACGCCACCCATGTAGAACTGGAAGCTGGTGGCGTCGACGGCGATGGCAATGGGGCCGTGGACAGCCAGCCACGCGGCCATCTTGTCCTCATCATTCGGCAGGTCATTGTAGCCGCTGATGGCTGCGCCGAACTCGTGGCTAGCTGTCCTGCACTTCGGGGAGTAGCCCGCGCCCGAGACGTAGGGGTAGCTGGCCTCTGTGTCCACCGTGCCGTTGTGGTCCTGGATGATCCATGTGAAGGCGTCGTCCATCAAGCCGCCGTTGCAGCCAGCATCCGTCGTGTCGCACGATACGAGCATCTCCTCCGACAGGCTCGTCAGGGGGTTGCCGGCGAGCTGCCACTGACCCTCGATGTTGCCGATGGCGGAGAAGGCCCAGCAGGAGCCGCACTGGCCCTGGTCCTTGACGGGCGTCACGGCACCTTTCTCGCGCCAGTCTACCTTCGCGGGCGCGTTGCCGGCGGGCACCTCCACCGGCGCCCTCAGACGCTCCGCAGCCGCCGCGAAGTGTGCTGCAGCGTTGTGGTAGCGGGCCTCGAACTCCTCGCGTGTGAGGTCAGAGAACGGTGTGACGCCGAACGT